TCTAAAAAAAAAAATCTAAAAGTTACAAATCATTTGAAATACACAATGATTCCATACATCATTCTCAATATCTGGTCATTGTACTCTTCGATATTTCAATAACAAAATAATAATTGTCCTTTTTTTTTAATATTGCCGAATTTCATAAAATTTAAATAAATAAAGTTTTTTTCTCTTCCATTTTTCTTGGTAAAACAAAAAATTAAATTTGTGAACAAATTTAATCCTAGAAAAATGATCAGTTACATGTTGATGAATTTTAATTCATTCATCTTTTAAAATTTTTTCTTCCATCAATTTCAATTCCCAATTTAAGTATCACTAAAAGATCTACTAGGAACTATTTTGTGAAATTTCACTAAAACAGAAAAAAATTACCTGTGCTCCTTTGACCTCATTATGAGCGCATAATGCTTTCTCGAGAAGCCAATGTTCGATAAGTTGCCCAGAATTATCCACAATCAAATCATCCTTATTAGTAATGACATTAATAATATCAGTTTCATCCATTGTTACGACATCTCTACAATTTCGACTTTTATTTTCATCAAAATAAAAAATTTTAAATCATATCACTGCAATATCATTTATTCAATTCACTGATGAATAATTTAAAAATAGCAAATTTTAAATGGTTTAATTAAATTGTGCGGATATTTACCCTGTTTCAATCCATTCATGCATTCCTTCATACGGTGATTCATAGCCGAGAAATTTTGATCCCTGAATAGGTTTGATGCATAATTCACCTGATTTATTGATATTACCTTTCCAGTTTGCTCGAATTCCAAGATCACGAATATCCACCTAAATAATAGAAATAAATACAAAATGTTTTTTTCTCTAGACATAAAACATTTACAAATCTTCTTTTGTTTTCAATTTTTTAAATTTAATTCAACTAGTTCAATTCCTGCTAAACTGCGATCCTTTACTCATTTCTTCTTCGTGTCTAAAATTTGTCTTAATTGTTACCACGGCTCAAAATTTTTCAAAATTTTTTACAATTTAAAAAAGAACGAATAAAAGTTTTGATCAGATAATTTATCCAGAATCGATGCAAAAGCAAACAATTAAATTATTTCTTTGAAGTAAAATTTTTAATTAAAACAATCATTTATTTTGCAATTACAAATTCTTAAATAAAAGTTAAAATTAAGAAATTTTAATTGAAAAACATACAACAAATTCATCTAGTGCTCTTCCAACACCTTTAGTATTTGCTGTATCCCAGGTTAGAATTGGAATTGATGCAACTTCGGTTAATATATAACCATTCTAAAATTTAATTGCTTTTAAAAAGAAATAAACGATTTCATGTTTTATGACAGTTTTTTTCTTCAATTTTTTATTTTTTCAACAAATTCATATTTTGACGAATATCTCATTTTAATTAATATTTTAAGCAAATTTAAACAAATATTTGCAATTTCCTTTAATGTTATTTGTCTCAAAAAAAATTTACACATACCATAATTTTTTGAACATTCTCAAATTGTTTGATGATATTTTTGATAACATCAGATGGTATTCGTTCACCAAGCAAAATAATATTTTCAATCGATGGTAAATGAACATTTTGAATTTGCGCTACACGCAGAATTAAGCCTAATGCAACCGCATTAGACATCAAATGAGTACATCTGTATTGAAATATCATTAAATAATAAATTAAAACGGAAATGTAAAAAATTATAGGTAAAATTTTAATTTTAAAATTAGAAAAGTTAAACAAAAAAGATAAGTGAATAATAATGATATATTAAAATATGAAAAGGGACAAAAAAAAATAACGACGAAAAAAAGAGCATTAACTGATAAAGTAATACATTCCCTAAATGATTAATCAATTAATTAGCTAATCTAAAAGATTGAAATGAAAAAAGTAAAATTTACTGAAATTTTTTGACAGAATCAAAAAGGAATTTTGGAAGTGGTGATGGTGATGGATATATCACTCGTGTATTTGCAATAAATGGTACCAATCCGATAACTGATAATATTGGAATTTTGAACAATGGTAAAGCACAGCATATACAACTCTAAACAAATTGAAGAAATTTTAAAAAAAATTGAAACATTTAAAAATAGGCAATTTTTTTTTTTTGAAGCGGAGGACATAAATAAACTTATGAACTACGATAAAATAAGAATGAAAAAAATATTTTGGATAAAAATGTTCAATGAATAAAACGTAATTATTATAGCTGAATTATAAATATATTGAAAAAAAAAGAAAAAATTATTATTAGCTGATATGACATTAGAAAATTGTATTAAATTTTTAAAAAAAATTCAAAAAAGGTTTTTTTGAATTGAATTTAAAAAATTATGAATTTATTAATGCAACAAACAGTATCATTGAAACCAATTGCTTGGCTAGCAGCATAACAGCCATTTAGTAATTGATAATGTGTTAGGCCAACTAATTTACCTGGAGCTGAAATACCCTGAAAAATAAAAGAAAATTTTTTTTCTTAACTTTTTACACATCGATTTTTTTCTCATATATTTCATAAAGATAACTGAAAGCATTTGGATTGCACACTAATAAAAATATATTAATGTAATGCAAATGAAAGATAAGAAAAGTTGTTTGAAGGAAAAAAAGATCTTTTAAATTTAATAAATCTGTTCTTAAAAAAAATTTCATTCCATTACACAGCACCTTTCATGTATTTATTTTCAATCATTCAAAGTATAGAAAGGAAGTTATAGCTGAAAAAAAAATTTTTGTTACAATAGTAGTGCAATTAGCATGAATTGAATTAGCCGTTTTGCTAATAAATATTTCAGTTATAATTCATTTTTTCAAATAATTAAGTAAGATGAACTGATTTCAAAATAAAGGGGATTAATAAACTATTTAAGCATACAGCACCATAATTGATGTAATTATTGCCATTGAAAGATTTAAATATTAACAATTATATGATGTAAATTTTTTTTCATACTTTAAGAATTTTAATTTGTGACAGTAAAACATTTAAATTAATAAGAATATTTGGTCTATTTTTTGTTAAATTTGATTAAATTGCTTGATAATTTTTCATATAAAATGATAATTGTAACGTTTTTAAAGAAGTTTTTTTTTTTGAATTTCGTTATTTAAAAATTTCCAACTAATTTATGACATTTATCTAAAAAAATTTTTGTTGGGAAAAACTTTCTAAGCATTGTATAAGCATTTCTTTGTTTTACTTTTTTAAATCATGTACACATCGTGCTGATGGATATGTTTAATGTATTTCTGGCGTGAACAAACAAAACTGGCAAATTTAATTCATCAATCAAAAGGAAGTAAGTGTAAAATAAAAAAAAAAGAGAGAAGAAGTGCTGTAAGAGAAAGGGGAAAGAAAAGAACAAAATAGGAGATGAGGGAAAAAAGAAGAAAAGAAAGAAGGAAGTAAAGTAAAGTAAAGTAAGGCAAAAGGAAGCAAAAAAAAAGAAAAATTCTTGTTGAAAAATATGATTAGAAAAGACGAAAATGAAAATAATTTCACAAGTTTAAATTGAAAAATTGAATAAGCCAAAAAAGACTTTTTCACCAATAGTATAAAGAGCTTCCAAAGCTGCTTTTTTTTATTGTTGAAGTTAATATATATGCAAATAAAATTATTGTGACAGGAAAAGTAACAGCAGCAAAAGAGCACACTGAAAGAATGATTTTCATTCCTTGCTTCTTTTTTTTTTTCCGGGCCTTTTTTTGATTAAGTTGAAATAACAGTGCTGTAATTTTGAGATTTTGGGGATCGGCAATATATATGCATATAATTTATCTTTTCCAAAATTCAGTTTAAATAACTTTCTTAATAAAATAAAACTTTAAAAACTAATAGGAAAGAAAAAAAATAATTTACATATATTAGTTTAATTTAAATAAGTTATTAGATACACCAGTTATATACATTTATATGACAACAAATTGATATACTCATTTTTTGGCTCATTATATATATATATATATATTCGTTAAAATCCTAGCTTTTAGAGAGATCCAAAATTGTCAATCCAATTTTAAGGCTTAAATTAGTTGCTGTAAAATAATCAGCAATTTCTTTCATTTTTAAGCTTCTCTTTCTGCTTTATTGTGTTATAACTGACTAACTGGAAGCATTATTTCGTGCAGTTGAGCAACGAAGCTAAAATGATTTAACATTTTCACTTTTGTTAAAGCATTTTAAAGGGCTTAAATGTAGAAGTGTAACTTTTGAAAATAAAGCGTAAATGTAACGTACAGACGTGAATTGCAAAGCTACAAGTTTATGCGTATCCCATGTCATAAAATTGGGTAATTTATCGACTCTCTCTCGATTACTTCGTCCATAAATTTCGGATAATGTGAAAGTACCACTATAACATATTTTTACATTCAGACATATATCAACTTGCATATATTATTTCCGAAAATACTTTTAACTAAAAAATTTTTTGAATTCAAAATAAAATTCATCATTCCTTACCTTTTGTTCAAATGTAAAAATTAATTTTAATATGAAAAAGAAAACATTAATGCTTACGCATGTTTATGCTCTTCCTCAGCCATAATTACATGAGTTAATTTTGGTACCGCTTTACTACATAAGCGGCCTTTAACTGAGAACATTAATTCTGGTGATATTTCATTTAATAGATTATTCAAAAATTCAATTTCACGATTAGCCGGAAAGCAAATTATAGCACGAAATTCACCCTGTAAAGATTAAACCTGCAGTTTTATAATTATTAAGTAAATAAATTATTTTTAAATTTAAAAACTTACATAGATAAAATTTTTTCGGCTCAAAAAAGGCCTAATTTTGGTTGCAATAGTTAGTTAATATCTTTTTGATTGCAATAGTTAGCTAATACTTTTTGATATAAGAATTTATTAGTTTACAGGATGTATAAGTAAAATTAGACTAGATTAAGAAGACCGTTAATTTATTTTAAAATAAAATTCTTGAAATACAAATTTAAATTTTGAAATAAAAATAAAACGAACCTTAACCAGTGCATCTTTAAGCTGCTCAGCATTTGCAAAATTTGGACTCATCAAAGAAAAGATTAAATCTGCCCTTGCACATGCTAATGGACAAATAAAGAAATGAGCTGTATTGGAGCCACAAATAAGGATACGATCTTGTGGTCTAAGACCTGTTGACAATAGGCCTGCTGCTAATGTATCCATCTGTAAAATATTTTCTACTAAAAATAGAATTTTTAAGCTTAAAATGTTTGGAAACTAAAATGAAAAATGATTGAAAAAAAGAAAGAATAGGAAAATTTCTTTTTGCATTTTACATATCAAAAAAAAAAGAATTACTTCTTTTTTTACATCTGCAAATGTAAAAGTGATTTTTTCATGATCAAATACAGCTGCAACTCGATCAATTCCGGCACATTTATAAACAAATTCTGGTAATGTTCCAGATAATAACTCAAATTTGATATTCATCTTTAACAATCTTTAAAATTCACACGTGCTGAAAATTAAAAATAAAACCGAAATTTAATATTTAAAATATCATAGAAGGTATCAAATATTACATTTAAACTTTGATTGAATGATTCAGGCAACTGTGATCAAAGTTAAAAATATACTACAACATGAATGATAGTAAATAAAGAATTAAGATTAGAAGGATTTTGTTGCACTATATTACCTGCTCCTATTAAACTGAGATATCAAACAATCTAAATTACTGATTTAAAATTATGATTATCTGAATTACTGATTTAAAATAATGAATTATCTATAGTGGAAGCGAATTCTGGCAACTTTCTGGTTATATCAATGAATTGCTATATGATAATGGGAGATGATTATAAATCTAGCAAAAGTACCATATCATTTATTTATGGAAAATGTACAATAATAAGTCTTCCCGTGATTTTTTGCTAGAATATTGAAAATTATTTGATCTATCGGGAATCATATAATAAGATTTAAAAGGATATTACGCTTCCTGTGCTAAAATTAATGATTGCTACTATTCATGCATTTTAATACATTTTAATACATTATACTTTTTATTAACCTAAAAGAATATTCTAATAAAATATTAAATTCTTAAATATTCTAATAGCAAAGTATAATGTATTAAAATGTATTAAAATATTCGACAAGTATAGGTTAACCAAAAATTTCACGTCCTCAAAAACAATTTTAAAATTTGAAAATTTGAAAGTGTAGAATAGATTAAAATCTCTCTTTTCTTTTGTAAATAAAACAAGAGATAATACTACAAAATAGAAAAGAAATGAATTTAGGTATGATGTGGAGAAAGAACAAAATATCAATTGTGATATTTTCACGACGATGGATTGAGTGCATTACGATTAGAACGATAAGCAATCAATAGCGATGTAATTGGACTTGTTGAAGTTTACGCTAAGCTACAGCTTTAAACTATAGCTCGAGAAATCCATTTCTCAAACTAATATCTCTTCATATAACACAAACATTTCGTTGTTAATGCTATTACTCTGCTGCGATAAGTTTCTTCCATTTTTTCGAACATTTTTGATGAATTGATTAATCCTTCGAATCATTTGGTATTTGTTTCGTTGTTTATAGATAGCCTTATGGTGACAGATTTAAACAAAGAAGTCATGAAATTTCAGAGAATAGCAGAGAAATTCATCAAATTTCGTTCACTTTCTTTCTTTGCAAGCTCACTCATCAGCATACAATATACAATACATTAAGCGATACAATTAAGCACTTTCTTGCAAATTTATCGTTTAGACACACATAACACATGGAAAATATGGATTATTAAATTTGATGAAACCATTGGACCGGGTAATTAACACCGGTTCATTTTCAAATTCTGCATCTCTAAAAATCTCCATTTTCTTACTGGCCAAATGCTTTTACTTAATAAATTGAGAAATTTGTTTCACTTTCACCAGTTTCACCAGTTTGTTTCACGTTCACCAGTTACTTTCACCAGTTTTCACTTTCAATCATTGCACTTTATTATGCCAATTGATTGCGCGATGTGGACAAGTCAGAAAGTTAACAATTTTATAAATATTGAACTAATTCAAATTCATCACCAGGTTGAGAGGTAAAATCGTTGGAGAGATTTCATTTGTTCCGCAAGATCGTATCGTACTTTTTCTCGCATATAAAAGATTGGACAATCTCTTCTGCAAAAAAAAAATCTGTATTATCAAAATATAAATAAAGATTAAATCATGAATCAATATATTTATTTCCAATTGTTTTTTAGACCGGAAAGACAAGCCACGGAGTATTTGCTTGATAATGAGTCATTTAATTATCAGATATAATACCAAAATGAGAAAAAAGAATCACTGACAGCTTTTCAATAGTGATAAATGAGTTCGTAAATAAAATCATGATTTTGTTTGTTCCCGAAGATATTCTAAAAAAATCATTAAAATTTACGAAGAGCAAAGCACTTCCTCGTTCATTGTCCCGGAACAATTTTGACACTCAGTCCATAACCGTGCAAAGCGATTTTCTATAGTGTTCATTAGAGCTAACTGCAAGAGAAATCAATTATATATGAAGTTACATAAATAGGATAACTTTGAAGTTAAAATCATCAATTCTTAAGGAAAAATAGGTCATTTTAAAAAAATCTAAAGAAATAAAATTAGAAAATTTTAATTTCAATACTATCATTGATTACATACTTTACATTCAAATATTACTGCAATATATATTAGAAAAAATATTAACATTAGAAAATGATTTTTTTTTTGCAAAGCATCTGTTCAACAGCAACTGACTTGAACAATTGCTCTTATTAAAAAAAGAAGGAAACGAATCATTACATGTGATTTTTTGACTAACAATTAGCAACTCAATGCGCTTAAACAGCCAAATTATACAAACTGTCATATGAGAATTGTAACTTACGTGGGTAATATACACCTTCCCTTCATTTGGTTTGCAATACATGCATGTAGCATCACTTACACCTTTTGGTAAGCTACTCTTGCATGAAAGGCACCGTTCAGTTTTCTGGAAAAATTGTGACAATCCAGATTTCTTGGATTGCACCACTGTTTTAACCAGCGTATGCACACCAGCTTAAAATCAAGAGCAATAATGATGAAAAATTTTGAGTATGATATTTGTTCAACAAGAATTTTCCAACTCCAAAGCATACTTGTTAAAATTGATTCAGCTTTATCACCCAAAATAGGCTCAAAAATACGAGCCAATGGTTTAGCCAGTTGATTTTCTAAATAGTAGACTGTATCAATGGGAATGTTGTTCTGTAATACATATAAAGGATCCTCGGCCTTTTCATATGCTGGCACCTAAAATATAATAAACTTTATAATGAAAATCTTGCTGATCTAATTTGTACAGTTCAATTTAATTTAACTCTAGGTACATTGATTCTAGTAACTACATAAAAATTAAAGAATTCAAAACTTACCTTTTGGCCTTTGGCAACAATAACATAGGGCACGCGGTCACCTAGCCGCGGTGCTGATCCGGGGTCGCGCTCTCGCATCCTTTCTGCTAAAACTACATGGGCTTGTTTCGCAGCATAGGCCTGAAATATCAAAACTGAGAAATCTTATACTGAAAGTTGCCACTGAATGGGAACAAATATGACCAATAAGCCGAAAGTAATAATTTCTGCCCAAAAAACTCACATTACTTGACCGAGTTAATTCCTTGGTGATTATGAGTTCTGAGATATCAATCCGATTGCAAAGAAGGTCGGATATTACCTGTTTGAAAAATTCCAAATATAAATTTAAAACGCAGAATAATAACTATCTTTTCTAATATCTAATAAAAAAATCAAAAAGATGCAGTTAAGTCAAGCTACATAAGGTGAAAAAAAAACTGATTACCTTTTTAGCATGTTCTAAAGCACTTGTAGCATCACTTTCCAACAACATTTTTTCTAAACATGTACTCAAAACTTTTGACACCAGTGGGCAGTTATCACGCCGAACTGTTTCTAATCCTTTGCAGTCAATTTTGTCATGCTTCTCAGGACACGTAAAATATAAACCAGCGTAGCGCTTCTTGTTTATTAACAAAAAAGGTGAGTAAACCTGTAATATATAATTTTACAAAGTTTCTCAAAATTATTACAACTTCTTCAAGTATTTCGTTGCATTATATATTTTTATTGAAACTTCTTTATTGCTGAATTTATTAACCGCCGAGAGTTTAAAAAAAACTAGTACAAAATAGGAAAATTTACCTTCAAATAGCTTGGGAGTCATGACGAAATTTAAAACCCCAGGTTTGAAATTTAGAAATTCGAAATATAAAAGTTCATTTCTATTAACCATTGACCGAGAATGCAAACAGAAGTGTAATACCTTTTCAAATTCCAATTTAATTGGAGGTGTGAACTTTTTACTAACTTCTGTAGCAGCATGCAAACCAAGTTCCATCGCTGCTTTGACATCTTTAACACCAAATTTCACCATCACTGAGTCAGTATCACCGTAAATAACCTGAAATTTGATAAAAATAAGAAGATACGAGATATCAAAGCTGAAATGAAAAAAAAGCTTGTGAAAAAAGCAGAATATTTACCTGAGCATCGCATGGACATTTGCCATCCAAATAACCTTTCCTATAAATCTCCTCAACTGCATTTTTTGTTAAATCAATCATTTGACGACCATAAGCTGTTACTGATTGAGAAATCTCTAAGCACGGTAATTTTCCAATTGAAGCGCCCGTAAAACCGTAAACCGAGTTTGCCGATATTTTTAACGCAAGTTGTCTACCGTTTAATACCATACGTCTGAAAAAAATTTACAGAACAACATTTTCAAATTTAATCAATATTTTAAGTATTTAGCGAGAATATCATTTCGCTGAGAAGCAAGAGAAGTTAAATTTTCAGCAATATGATCTTAATATTTGTAAATAAAAACTAATCAGTAACAGCAACCATTTCACAGTGGATTTTCAAGAGTCCAATAATTCTCATTATTAAGCGTAAGTATCTTGTTCTCAAAAGTGATTGCTACTTTCTCGGCAATATCAATTATAAGCGTATTAGAGATTTTTTGAAGAATTTTTTCCTTGTACTAGCTAAGCATGCAAAATGTACCTATTTAATCACTGTCTATTTAAGATTAAGAGAAAAAAATCAATTTCAAAATGAAAAATCCTTTTACCGAAATGGATCCTGCTCATTTTTTAGCTCATTCTTTACTTGTTTTCTAGCGTTCAACAAATCTTCCAAAATCTGAGGTAGCAAACCGCGACGAATGTTCGGCTTCACGAAACGATTATTTGACGGAGTTACTTCGAAATCAAAATTAGACAAACTGAAAATTTTTCGAAAAAATATATTGCTTGCACTTTACTCAAACAAACTGATAGTAAGCATATATGTTTTCTTTAACACTTACCTCTGACTTCTTTCAAACAACTTACTTGTATGCTGCATTTGAACCCCGAATCAACGTAGTGTAACACAAATTGTGAGCAATCATAATAGATGGATATAAAGATGCAAAATCAAGCGTTGCAATTGGAGTACTGTAGAAACCTCGAATAGGATCGATTACTGTTGCACCCTCGTAAGTATCGTCAGCTTGTATGACATCAATGACCGGTAAAAAGAAATGCATCGATTTTGCCTAAAATTTGTAAAAAACTCTCATTTCTCTACAACTTCCAATACAACCGGAGTAGACATATTTAATATAAAGAAGTAATTATTCAAAATATATTACATATTTCTTTGTATACTTTCCTAAAATCCATACTTTTCGCAGGATCTGTGACATGACTTTGACCTGTTGACCTCTAGAAAGCAGGTAATCAAGAGGAACACCGGTAACACGTGCCATCTCGATGTAATTAATGACGGACATTAACTTTTGCAGTAACTTTAACGGCAAATATGCATCCTTCATACAGTAAATAGCTAGTCGACGACGTGTAAAAGCATTTCCATTCTGAAAATCTTCCGAAAAAGTTCAATATCAGTGATTGCTACATGAACTTATACTATGTTTCTCTTTCTTATTCCACGAGTATCATTCAACAATGAGTGACGTTAACGTACTAACACTGAAGTTGGCAATGTAACATATTTCGCTGCCGTCGAAGTTCACAGTTTCACAAGAATTCTCGAACTGACACAAATAGCAGTTACTTCTTAACACTTCCAGATTTGTGTAAATTTACCCACCTGAAGATCTGCAATCATCGAATAATCCACATCTTCCTTCTGCTCACATAAAAAATGGTAGCTGACACTGTTCAATGAATAACTTCGTAATTTATAATCCCGCAAAACGACCTAAATTCGACTTTCATCAAACCAATAATCACAAAGTATAAGATATGCCGAATGTAGGGATCGAACTTGCGACCCTTTGTTTACATGACAGGTGCTCTAGCACTGAATCCGATCATGTCCACGCCACACCATGTTTAGACAAGTAAAAACAAAAGATTTCAGGACCAAAAACATAAGTGCAACAATCAAGACATTTCAAACCTTAACTAGCGACAAATTGTTTACCAAATGAGCACTTTTACTTAAACTAATGGTGGTACATATTTGATAATTATGATTATGATGGTACATAATCATAATTATCAAAACAACTTGAATTCAATGATTATAAAACTTATCAACAGTTGTACTTAATCTATGTACTGGCATTATCAACGTACCCAATTGTAGATTTTTAAATGTTCATAAAATCATTATATAACATAAACCAACTTACTTGAATGACATCAAAAACGACTCGTCCTTCAACATTTGTTATTTTATTCGTTCTGTTACCCATTTGTTTACTAGATAAAGGCATTTCTCGAACCTTCGAAAGTGAACTTGGAACACGTCCTAGCATGGTCGCTCGATTTTCGATCTAAATCAGTACAGAGTGAACTGTTTTTTTTTTTCATGAAATTTTCCGTCCAATTAAAGAGAACCTTTAGTACTCGAGCACGTTCTACAACGTATGGGAAATCAAAATTCTGAATATTGTAACCAGTAATGAGATCTGGATCAACAATACGAACAAATTCCGCCCATTTCTGAAAATAATTTAATGATGGTACACCAAATAAACCCAGAAAGTAAAAAATTGAATTGAAGATTTTAGATTTTTCTTACATTAAGTAATTCTTCTTCTGAATTAGAAATAATAATTTCACTGCCAATGACTGGAGCAGTTTCACCAATTACAAAACAATTCCGAATGAATGGTTCACTTTCGCCTTCAACTTTGACCATATTAGCTATTTGTATAACAGCATCAGTGTGAGCTTCCGGAAATATGCCTGAAAAAAATGATAACCACATAAACTTAACATATTTGGCATAAACTTAACATATTGTCAACTAATGTAGTGAGATTTATTAATTCATACAGAATTTATTCGGTATAGTTCAACTTATTTTGCACATCACATAAAAATTCAATGACCATTTAAGTAGAAAATGTAGTTCTATCCATCATATGGTGGCATTTGGTCCTTATAAGTTAAAAAAGTTAACATAGGATTTTTGGAATAGAGATAACAAATTTTCCAACCCTGTCGATTCGTGCATTCGATATCAAATGATAAAATACGCAGTGGTGCTATTGACGACCATCTCGGACCTGATTCAGACGAATGAATAATGAGATCTGTATTGTTTATTGCACACTGCAAAATATTTCTTAAGATTATAGCTGAACCACTTCGCAATTTTATTTTTCAAATAACCATAAAAATTGTAATACCTATGTGTCATGCAATTTCAAGGATGTAGATCTAAATCAACGATATATTACTTCATGATTGTTAGACACTGCAGAGATATGGCATATTACTATCGGTTATTAAACATTACAGAAATAAGCTATCTTCTGTAATAATGCAATAAATGATACTAATGCGTGAAATATTCTATAAATGTTCATTGCGCAACTTTGTGTAATAATGTATTGAAGTCCAAAAGTGAACTGATATTCACTGAATTGACAGTAATTTCAGTGAAATTCCTAAAGCTTGCTACAATGACTAAAAGATATTTTGAGTTTTTTTTTAATAAACAGAAATAAACTTCAAAGAAAAAAAAAGACATTTTTTGTTCTTTTTAAAAAAATGAACGGAAATAAACCTCAAATTGACAACGACTAATCATTTCCTTCCCCGTAATAATTCGATATTTTTTCGACGGTAATGTAACCCATGCACAACCAACCAAATCATGATCCGTCATAAATCTAATTTCAAAATCAATATTTGTTTCAAAACATGATAATGACTCAATTTGTCCTCCTTTCGTCAAGCTCACTCCATTAGTGAATACTCGCCGACCTAAATGAACATAGATTCAGTTCCAAATAGCATATTTAAAAATAATCGGAAGCTGCAACAAAAACTTTAGGGTTAGAGTTCTCAAAAGTTGCAAAATATCATAAATTTTGCCAGCAAAATTCTATCGCTTACACAAATTGAGAAGTTTCGGAGAACAAACATATACTTTCAGAAACTTCTGATTCAGGTCTTTTCTATAGTCGTAAATACTGGCACCATGTACAATATCGAGATCAATAACTAAATTCTCAACGTTCTTTGGGATACCAATATTTGCCGGGACCTGAGCCTGGAATCCAGAAATGCTCTATTTTAAGACAAAAAATTAGTCTTTTGATATTATTTAATTTAAAACAAACGTAAAATCGTCAGAACCCTGAAAAAAATGAAAATACCTTCAAAATAAAATGACTAACCTTAATAATATCATTCAGATACTTTTTTGCATACTCTATGTTCTTTTCATCAAACGGACTTTCCAATAATACATAGAAATATGGAAGAAATCCATGAACTTGAACGCAAACTGAATTCTGACCAGCAGTAGCTCCGAACAAGCGAATAACAATGTTATTTTCACTGTCTGAAATGAAAATAAAACAGGCAATCATTTGAGTAAACTATGATGCTAATAGATGGTTCTCAAAATGACGGTAATTTTAAGTAAATTATAACTTCTATCTTCAAGTTAGTTCAAACATCAAAAATTATATCCAAGTTATAGAATAATTCAATTATTCAGCAGAAATTTCGAAGTAATATTTCCAGTAGATCATCTCACTGCTAACATTAAATTGTTAGATTTCAGTTTTGTTCTTAAAAATTTTCGCTTACTCATATAATAATCGACATCAACAACTTGAAAATCGATTTCCGATTTATTCGTATGTAACTCAACAGGAAGTGATGGACGAGCCCAAATACGATCTAAATCGAAAATAATAGAAAGATCCAAGTAAATATCCACATTTCACATATGAATAAGTTCAATTATGAGTAATGAACAATGCTGTAGCAGATAAACTAAAGTAAAAAACAAAATTCTACATTAACCACTTGGTTACGTTCAAAATCCGTAGGATATTTTCAATTAAAAGAAAACTAACTTGCTTCAAATTGATTAATTGTAGTTCTTATTGTATCATCATCCGAGGGTGCGAGTGATGCCAACTGTGTTGCAAAAACTGATGACTCATTCTCAGCAGCTCTGCAATTCAATTAATTTGAAACATAAGCAATAAATTGAGTTTACAAAAATATCAGAATTACTGACGATTGTTACGGTTAATCAAAAAATGACGCGGGATAACTTGATGATTTGCTTTCTTCGGCAATAATACCTTCAAAAATTTTCATTTACTATTACTTATTTTCTGTTTAATAACACATTCTTATGGATAATAATACCAATAAGAAATGAAAAGCATGAATGCGACTACTCCAGAAAATTTCATGTGAGACGAAAAAATATTTCTGCACATCTTTAAGGAAATAGATATCGAAATTAATATGAATTAAATATCGCAAATTTTATTTCATGGTTCTACATACAGTTAGTATTATTACAAGATGCGATAAAATGAATGCATGAGTTTTTTTCTTCTGTGCAAAATATCAGAAAATTTATCATTCTTGACTTGGTAAAATTTAAAAAGATCTAACCTGTTCCGTTTTGCTTTAATCGATGATGTTGTTGTTCGTGCTATACGTTTACCAATCGTTAATGCCATCCGATCTCACTATATTATAGTACACATTCAGCATTAACAATTATGAATATAACATCAATCAATTTTTCCAGTTTCGTATTTTCCACGTAATCATATGCAAGATAATGGCTGCAAGAAGAATTTTGCTTAATTTCATAGGATGTAAAGATAAAAAATGATGAAAATTAGAAAATAAAATAAAACTTCAAATTTTGCTACTTCCAAACTAAAAAATGAATCAGGAAATAAATTTAAACGCAATACATTCTCAATTTATAATACTTTCTCAAACATTATTCTATTTTCATAAATTTTTTCATTTGTAATGTTATCCTGAATTTTGATGGCTTTTCAAACTGCACATACAAGCCTTATTCAGCACCATATTCACTAACTAAACTGTACTATCATCCATCATTGTAATTTCTCGAGGTGTACATTATCAGGAACAATTAGGGAAAGGGAGAGGAGAGGAGAGGAAGCCGAAATTTACTTAAAAAATTCAAAACTCGCGCAATAGTTTAAAATATTCCCGTGCGACCTCTTGAATAATTCGCACTGAAGAATAGTTCGAACATTAGCGTGCAATTTTCACTGGCTTAAGCTTGATTGTTTCAGTGAGATTTGTTTTGATCCGCTGATTAAGTTTGAAAATTGTGAATTTTTGAAATCAAATCTAATTACTCTGTCATAAGTAAGTTATTTAAATTTGGAATTAAATTCAGCTACTCTGCTACAATTATGATATATTCAAATTTGGAGTTAAATTTAGTTACCAAGTTATAATCATGTATAAATTTAGTTGCTCTGTTGTAATTAAGTTTTTTAAATCTAGAATTAAATTCAGTTCCTCTGTTGTAATTAAGATGTATTCAAATTTGGAGTTAAATTCAGTTATTCTGTTATATAATTAAGTTATGTTTAGTTCGAACTGAAAATGAGAGTGAAAATGAAATGAAATTCATCAAAATGTATTCAGCTTCATTCATCTAAATTTATTTCAATATGAAAAAAAAGAGGAAAAAAGAAAAATTCAACTTTATATTTTAAGTAAGGGGAAAAATACTAAATTAGCTTTTATCCAATTTAGTGAGATTAAAACAACTAAATGTATGAGATATTGTAAAATTGCTATTCATTTCTATATCGATTAATAGAAATATATTGCTTGAACAGTGCAAATCTATTATTGATTGAATCGATATTTACAAAATTAACAAACATAATGAAAAGTTAATTTAAAAAGAAATCTATGATTGCATGGATAAAATCACGATGAGACTGAAATTACATGAGAAGTATGCTAAAGTTATTGCACTGATCAAGTAAATAATAATTCACTCACTAATTTTTATATCATTTAAACATTTCACTGCAAAATAATATTAATTCATTATGAGTGAAAGCAAAAAGATATGTATAATATGTTAAAAAAACAAAAAACAAAAAATAAGTTATTAACTCAACCACATTAATTGAAATGATTTAAAGGTAGTGCTAATATTGAAGTTATCACGGGATATTTTTTTAAAGAAAAGTTAGTTCTGCAGGAAATTTTTTTAAATAAAA